ACAAACCCGATAAAATATGTAAAAAAATACTGAAATAATCACTTAAAAATATAAATAATAATACACGATTACGTCCTTCGATTGGTGAATGTGGAAATAGTCGCATACGATTATGTTGTTGAAATAATTTCCTATCAATACGATCCATTTGTAACCATGAATCAATCCAAACTTTTAATGAAACTAAACGATCGGCTAATGGATTTATCATTGATAAAAAACGATGATCGTGTTCAAATTGCTGTCGATATTGTTGAAAACGATCGGATTTTTTCCGTTGAATATTATCCTCGGTATCCATACTTTTCCAATATTGATCAGTATTATAAACAATACAATCATATAATACTTGAAAACTAAGTTTTTTTGGTGATTGATAAAAAAATGTTCGTATACCCAATATACCAAGTATTACAATAAACATGAAAATAATAGTAAAAAATTTATTCATAATTTTACGATATTTCCAAAAATAAGCCGGTACATAATCATATTGATAGAATGGATATTGTTCCGGATCTAAATACATTATTACAATGAAAAATAAACGTATTATCCAATAGAATGATAGTATTATATCAAAACCATGTAATAAACGATATTGACCACTACCATATTCATTGGCAATATGTTTCATTGTATTATATAAAAAGGATTTTATTTTGAACAACATTGTTTCGATTTCTTTGGTTTCGTTTTTGTTTCTGATCGTTTAGATGTTTGATTTTGATTAAAGTTAAAGTTTACCGATCTAAATAAAACTCAAAAGCAGAATGGGAAAATATATATATTCTTTGGAATAATTATTGTTTGAAACGAAAAAACAAAAAAAAAATTAACAGAGGCAATCATTAGGTATATTTATTTCTTCCATTATTCTGGCCATTAATATCGATCAATTTTTTTTCAAATTTTAAATTTTTCTTTTTTTTTGACAATTCCAATTTCGATTGCAATCATATAATGATTGATTGATTTTTTTTCGTGATCAAATTTTAAATTTCAAAGTTTGTTCGTTTTTTTGATACGTTTTTCTTCATATTGTTTGGTACGAAAATCGAAAACAAAATTTTTTTAATCATTAATTGGATAATCGAATGCAAAAAAATATAATTTGTCAAAAAAAATTCTAATTAACAAAATTATTACAGAATTTAACTTCAAACTTGTTGTTGTTGTTGATTATTGATTTGTTGTTCATTCATATAGTTTTTCAATATTAAAAAGAATGCAACAATATAGCCAAGAAATGCTTCAAACAGACCACGAAATGTTAAATTACCAAGTGTACCAAATGTATAGGAAATTTTTCGTCCAGTTATTAATCGTTCATAAAGATCATCATATTTTAATTTCAATCGTAAATGTGTTGAACGTTTTAATTGTAATTGCATTGCAGGTAAATAATCTTTGATTGAATGAAAATCACTTGACATATTTGCTGCTAATAAAAATGGAAAAGAACCAGTTATACCATGTACAATAGCAATCATAATGATTAATAATTTGGTTTCAGGTAATAAATCTTCAACAATCAATTCACACATTATTGTTACATTGATCGGTATGCTGATTAATGCATAATAATATAATGCCTGACTCCATGTTGTTTTATCCGGTCTTAATATATAATATGATAATGTTATATGTTGATTTAAAATAAATTTTAATTGTTTCAATTCTTTTGTATTGATTCTATGACCATTTTGTAATTTTTTTAATAATTTTAAAAAATTCTTATTTATAATAGCCAATTCACAATGTAATACTTGATATATTGCTAATATTGTATATGATAATAATAATGCACATTGTATTAATGCAAATACATTATGAAATATTAATGTGGCTTCAATTAATAATGTTATTTTCATTATAAATGAATTTTGTACCAAATCCAATGAATAAACTTGTGGAAATATTATATAACAAGCAATACTCATTGTAACAACTAAATAATAATAATAATATTGAACAATAATAATTATTATTTTAATTAGTAATTTTAAATTAATATTACAAACCCGATAAAATATGTAAAAAAATACTGAAATAATCACTTAAAAATATAAATAATAATACGCGATTTCGGCCTTCGATTGGTGAATGTTGAAATAAACGCATACGATTATGTTGTTGAAATAAATTTCTATCAATACGATCCATTTGTAACCATGAATCAAACCAAACTCGAAATGAAATCAAACGATCGGCTAATGGATTTATCATTGATAAATATCGATGATTACGATCGAATTGTTGTCGATATTGACGAAAACGTTCGGATTGTTTGATTGTAAAATTTTCCTGTGTATCAAAACTGTTCCAATATTGATCAGTATTGAATACAATACAATCATATAGTAATTGAAAACTAAGTTGATCGGAATGTTGTAGAAAAAATGTACGAATACCTAACAGACCGATTAATGCAAAAAATATTAGAATAATTAGGAAAAATTTATTTAAAATTTGTCTATATTGCCAAAAATATGCAGCACCATATTCATATTGAAATAATGGATATTTTTCCGAATCTAAATACATTAACAATAGTATGGATAAACGAATAAACCAATATAGAAAAAGTATAATATCAATTGAATGTATTAAACGATATTGATGACTATCATATTCATCGACAATATGTTTCATTGTTTCATATAGAAAGGATTTTATTTTGAACAACATTTTTTTATTTATCAATTCGAAAAGATTATGAGAAGAATGAATGCAAAAAAAAACAGCTTGTTGAAAAGAAACCAAAAAGTTATATGAACACGAATGAAAAGAAAAGAATTCCAGAAATAATTGTTTGGTTTAAAATCAAAAATGAATGATTCGATCATTAGTCAACCGTTAATTGTTCAAATTTTTTCCTTTTCCTGGGAAATTTATCATCGATTTTATATTTTTTAAAAAAAATTTTCCACTTTTTTTTCATCCGAAAAACTAATAATTTATTCATCTAAACAAAGAAAATAAGTTTATCAAATTGACTTTTGGTTGCAATAATGATAAAATCGATACCTTTTATGGTTTGAATATTTTTTCTATTCAGTCGATCATAAATCAATCCGAATCATTCGATTTCCTTGTTAATAAGGGAAATTCCATATAAAGAAAAAAAAATGTATCGATCGATTTTTGTTGCAATGAATTGCAATCAAATTTTTTTTCTTCTTTCATTGATCAACCTGTTGATTGTTAATTTGTTGTTCATTCATATAGATTTTCAATATTAAAAAGAATGCAGCAATATAGCCTAATAATGCTTCAAACAGGCCACGAAATGTTAATTCACCTAATGTACCAAATGTAAAGGCAATTTTTTTACCCGTTAATAATCGTTCATAAAGATCATCATATTTCAGTTTCAATCGTAAATGTGTTGAACGTTTTAATTGTAATTGCATTGATGGTATTCGTTTCTTAATAAAAGCAAAATAACAAATTTTCATAATAATTATATTGTTTATCGTTGAAAACAAAATAATGCAGAATCATTATGCATGATAATTATGGCTCAAACCATAAATTACAATATAGAATTATAAAGAAACTTTTACAGAAAATTTTAATCGATTACAATCATCATAATTAGCATTATAGGAAAAATTATAAAATGCTTCATCGATTAATGATCAATTTTGTTTTGAAAAAATATATTTTTAGAAAAAAATCATTGTTTTTTTTTGCATTCACTCGTGATTACGCATTACACATTGCACATTGCGCATGAGTTGAATAACAAAAATACCTTTTTTTAAAAAAAGGGAAAAAACTTTTTCGTTAAACTCCTCCTCCCCCATCAATTTTTTTTTTATTTCAATCAATCATTATAGAGTTTTATCGATTAACGATCAATTTGATTGATGGAACCAAAAAAAAAAAGAAAAAATTTTTTCTTCTTTGAATATCAAAATTGTCATTAAGTAAAAAAAATATCGTTAAGGTCACCCACATTTTTCACAGGAAAAAAAATTTTTGGTTAAATTTTCATGGTTAACAGTGTGTATGTGAAACATCGGGTACAATCATTTGATTACTTTGTTGCTTATCATAAAGATCAACAAATTGTGTAATACAAAATGCTGTTTCAAATCAAAACATTTATATATAGTGCAATGAAACATATTGTTGAAGAATATGGAACCAGTCAACATAATCTATTACATTATTTAGAATATTGTTGCTATATTAATTGGTTAATTCGTGCC